AAGGTATGGTAAGAAATAAGAACCATTGAGCTTGGTGCAAATAACGAGTCATGTTGATCTGTGAACGGAATTTCCGTTTGCACTGAATAAATTTGGCTAACGTAGGGGATTGTAGAAACCGAGTATGCTACCCAAGAGACTTCATAATTTCATCTCCTCTAATTAAACTGAGAGAGAAGGAAAGCGCTTTCTTAAACAGACTTTGGAAAATCTGTTCCAATTTTATCACATTTAAAAGTCTTTTTTTAATTTTATTATTGAATTTCTGAAAGCACTCAAATAAATTTCTAAGAAATAAATTCTGAGTTTGGTAAAATGTAGTACAAGTTATATACCAAAACTAATAGTTATCAGCTTCCAGCAGACAGTCACAGTATCGGCGTTCCAGAGGTATGGACAATGACAAAGCGGAAATAATTGAAAAGCAAAGACTGAAAGTAGACACCGAGGAAGAGGTCAAGTGAGAGAGAAAATGTTGAGCAAGAGACAGAAGAAGAAAGGGAGGAGGAACAACGAAGAATGAGAGGATTGATCGTCTGCAAAAAATATTCTTCAAACTGACGAGTGGTTGGATTTTACAGACGAAAACCGAGCTACCTAATAATCGATAATCGATATTCTCCAATTGAATCGTAATAACAATTCAAGCAAACGTAAAAACGTGAGCATGACTTCTATCAAAATAAATAAAACTACTTTTCATAAAAAAACAAAGTAATAATAGGGGAATATTTCAGTTTCTTGACTAGATCATATCTGGTCAAGCGGTGCCAATCGTAACTCCATACGTTGATGAATGCGATCGGCTTGGCGACAGGTGAGTCGAAAAAAATCATCTCTCGACTGTAAGAATGAAAACGTTTCTCATTCGCGCGTTTGAACTGGCACCTTACTGCTACTAGGTGAAATAAAATTTCGCGAGATTGATGGAAACCTACCCTCTCTTTAAAATCTCAAATGCGGATAATTTTTTGGAAAACATCATCGAAGCTGACGGGATGGTTTTACAATGGAGATCAATTTCGCTGAAATGCTTTCATATAGACATTTTGATCTAAATGTTACGTAAATAACGAAGTTTGACAAGAATTCATCATTGTATTTAGTGAGGTGAGTCGAAAACAACATTGGAGGATAGAAGTATTGTCTGCTGCAGATAAAGCCTATTGAAGAATAAGGTTGAAAATAAGCAACAAAGAATTTCTACTAGCTGTTGAATTTCATGAGCAAAAGCAAGGATTCATTGGTCCTTTCTTGCAATATCAAGCTTCACAGATCGGCATAAGTCACTTTGATAGGAGATGTTAGCATATTCCCGAACTGACCATGACGTCAGTTACTTCTCCGAACCAATTTATTCTGCTAGCCAATAAGCAATTCGTCCAATTTCATTCATAAACTTGCTTAATACTAATTCGCCTTCCACACTTTCAAACATTTATACATGAAAACATGTTGCAGATTTGCATCAGTTGCCCCTTAAAAGCCAGCAAGATGAAAATCTTTAGTTCCTCATCTTAAGTGTTATAAACAAACAACGGTCATTTAAATTAGAGCTGAACGAATAAAAGTTGAGATTATGGTTAATGCAACCGTCTCAATTTGAAAGATCCAAATTTCATTAAATTCGTCGAAAAAACAAGATTTTGAACACCGCTTATCATTTATATCATATGACAGGCTTCATGATAATTATCATTAGCTCTTTAGTTGACTTTGTACATCACAGAGAGGAGGAGGAACAGAAGAGCGATTCACAGATGTAAAAGTGACAGACAGGCACAATGGTTGGGAAAAGGTAAGGTGAGTATTGTGAAAGTGGTGGAATATGACATACAGTGGGGTCATGGTAGTTTGAAGTCAGAAGTCAACTGTCGATTAATAGACTTTTTTGCCGTATGAGTATACGTTGCCCAGGCTGCACCACATGGTGGTAAGTCTATTGCGCACCCCACGCCGCTAACCATTCAATGAGTGCCAAGACCACTGAATTGTTTGTATAGAATGAGTAGCCGAAACCAGTCCATCTGAATCATGATAAAACAAAGGAAACATTTGGAAAAGTGCATTTGCATAAGACAGTTGAAAAAAAGTAACACTACTCAATGTCACATTGACTATCCAATCCATAGCCAGCCTTCACGTCAAGTTAATGCGGATTACTGACTGTACCTTAGAAGTTGAGAAATTGAGCGAAAATATTAGTAAGCTATGGTCCATTAGCTTTATTTTCAAGCGCTTAACGGATTTATCAGTTCGATTTTTTTCAATTGCCTCCCACAATTAAATTCGGATTTAGTCAGACGTCTAGTTGCTTTGAGTCAATAGGTCATTTAGTGCCTAGTTTATTTATCTATATCAAATACTGGCTTTATAAAAGTTGTTATTGGCCTTTTAATTGTCTTAGAGCTTCACAAAAGGCCGAGTGGGGAAACAGGAGACTGATTTACAGATGTAAAAGAGACAGACACAAAGGTGAGGTGAGTACTGTGAAGCGGTCGGATATAACATACAGTGGGGTCATGGTAGCTTGAAGTCAGAAGTCAACTGCCGGTTTATGGTCTTTTTTTGCCGTATGAGTATACGTTTTCCCAGGGTGCACCACGTGGAGGTAAGTCCATCGCACATCCTCAGTTAATGTATAGTAAATGAGTGCCAATTTTTGCTTTGTTATATTCTCTGCAGTTTTAACAAATGCTTAGCTTGTTTGTTTCTAATAACCAAGGCGATGGGGAGAATTGTCGGTTGAAGAGAATTAACATTACGTCATAATAGTTATTAACAGAATGACTGATATCAATTACCTTGGCGTCGTGATGAGGAAATTAAAGGACCGCTTTTGAGTGAAAAAAAAAACATTTCAGGATTCAGCTTGGGAACACAATATTCCTTATCAAAATGCCGAATTCAAAGATGACAATTTGAAACTATTTTTTTGTTGGCTCTGTAATACTAGCAAGAAAGAAAGAAAGATAGATTGTTTGTTGAGAGACTGATTACTAGAGCAAAGACGAACATTTTTGAAATTAATTGGCGCTGCCTATATGAAGCCTTAGTTTTTCATTAACCAAAACCTCTAAATCAACTCCTACGCGGCTTTCCTATTCAGAGTAGAGATTTCATAAATCGTTATAAAATTCAAAAAATTGATTTATGTGAGAATCCAAGCTAATTTAAAGTCAAAATTCCGTGGGCCAACCGTCAAGTGACAGTTTAGATCCATGACACGACATACACAAATTTTCTCTTACAACCTGACGGATTTGATATGACTTCCTATCAGGGTGATAACTCACTAACATCCAAAGAACCTTTCCATTTCGGTAAGTGAAAGGTGGAAATAAGAAAAATTTTACCCAAATGTAGGAAATCGAAAGCCATTTATTCTGATATCATCCACTACAATCCAAAATAATTCTGTTATCGACATCACCACTCTGATATGTGGAGGAAATTCGGTACTGACAGTGCGTGCTTTTCGATGACGAGGGTTTACTGTCTAAGTTGCGGAAACCCACATTGATGGCTGTTTTAGCTGTGATAGAACTGTTAACACCGACTTCTATAGCGTTTTGATCGACTCGTCATAGTCACAACTCTATGCCAATCTCTTTTCAATTCTCTTTTACATCTGATGGCCTAACGGTTGCGCATCTATATACCTAACCTAGCCTTTCAAAGGTGTTGGAAAGTTAACTTAACTAAATGCTCACTTACAGGGTCAATGACCCAAAATTTTTATCATACCTACTTATGACATAGATCAGATTAACCGTTTCAAAAGATATTAACCGCCATAGGCGACCATTCACCATTGACAGCATTATCGTAGTTCAATATCTTCCTGTATCCACATTTGCAAACTTATCAGTCCTCCAAATCCAAAAATGCGATTAGAATCCAATCGGCAGCTTTACTCTTCTATTACAACGCACGTCAAGCACAGCATAACACTAATAAAATGTCAAACGAATGGCAAAAAAATGCTCTGGCTGAATACAATATATTATTTAACTTGTACCTTAATGATTGCACCAATGAACGTATTCATATTCACAAATTTGTGGTTGTATCGAAGGGTATTTCATAAAATCTGGGTTTGAGAGATAAACGGGAGAATTATAAAATGTTTGTCGATCATTATAATTAAAACTAGTCGGGTCATTGGATGAGGATGAATTTGAATATCTCTGCGGTATATTAGGCTCCGAAATGGAAGTGTCACTTTGAATATTTCCACTATTTCTTAGATGGAATTGTGCATAGTCAATTTGGTAATCTTGTGGATAAGATGACATCATCTGTTGTCGACAAAATGAACTGACACTGGAGCTGGTAGATGCTTCCGTTTTATAACCAGGAGCACGTGGTAGAGTTGTTATTGGTGAGTAGATATCAATAGGAGCTAAAACGAAAACAAATCCAATTAGAAGTGATTGATGATGATTGGTGCAACACGCTTCAACTCAATAGAATAAATCATTTTTTAATCTAAAATTAAGGCGTTCATATTGAGAGAGAGAGAGTGGAATATTAAATATTAATTAAATTTCTAATATTCATTAATGGTGAGGTTAATAATTAAATTATATGCTAGTGACACGAATTGTCCAAAATTGATTATAGCTTTCCGGTTATAAAACATTCTGTTAGGTGGATTGGAGATCTAAGTAATTACATCCCACGCACTTTGATGTTCTAGTTCCCTGATTTTTGAGGGATCTTACTGGGCCTATATCTAGGCCCAAAATATTAGATAGTCTTGATGTATCAAGGAGAGTTAATTTGCAGTTTGTAGTATTACACTTTTAGTATTAAAATAATATGAAAACTCTAAATTCCTTAACTTCAGTTATTCGATGAGATAGGCAGGGATTAATCTTGAAAAGGGGTGCATCTTAAACCACAAAATACGAATTCTTTCATAAAAGCATACAATAATGAGGAAAATGGAATATAAAAAAAGAAAGATGATCCAATATCACGGATCAAGTATATTTTTAAAGTAGCTTACGAATGGAATGTGGAAAAGGCATTGCATTGGGGAGACAGGTACTTGAAGAAGACAAAGTAAGGGATTCTTGGCTTGGCATTTCAATATTCATTTGACTACAGGAATCTTTCCTTCTCTTGCGCACTCTACTAACCTTGACAACAGGCTTGGGATGATCATGAGTACCTTTTGCTTCGAAGAACAAACTTTTGCCAACACGACGCCAAGAGTGGGTTACGGGATGCCCTCTGTTGCCTTTGCATGGCATGTATAACAGTTTCCCTTCGCAATATTTTAGCGGACAGTCTGAAAAGACAATGGAAGAAATGTGGGTGGAGGCGAGGGGAGGGGGAGGAGCAAATCAATAAAAAGCGATAATTACTCGAAGTTCTTAAATCTGGTTCTAATTAGTCCGGAGATTAGATTACCAAGATATTATGCCTATGATAAGCAGATAAAGTAAATGTGCTAAAGATGTTCGAACTAGTTGAGACTTGCTTTATGCTTAAAGACCAAATATCACTCAACCTGATGTTTGGATTTCTCCATATACCTATGTAAGCCTCCTCACCACGTAGCAATTATAGGGAAAGTGAATGCCAGACTTACTAGTTTGAGACTTTCTAGCAACTTCGGAGATAGCGGGATATACATAGGCTCTGCATGAAGTGCATAGATGAACTCCAACACAACTCTTTTTAAGAATATCTATATTGTGGTTATTGGAGTTTCGCATTGGCCATGCAGTTCTAAGGCATTTTTTCTTGCTGTCAATATCAATTTGGAAGATGCATTTCAAACTGCCGTCTATCCATTCACAAAACGTATCGTATTTATTAACCTGAATAAGTGGATATTTTCGATAAAGGAGTTAAGTAAAATATTACCTCGGGTAAATGTTCGTCATATATATCCCAGTTTTGCGAAGCGTACGAAGATATTGACTCCTTATATTGCTCTGCGTTTGAATATACATACTGATGGTCCCACATTTTATAATTTGATTCTTCTAGCCGGCGGTACCCAATGTTATGATCAATTGATGAATGCGGACACTCGGGGACCGAGAAGAGCCATGGTAAGCATTTTATTGGTTATTTTATAAACCAATTAGAATGTACTGCGTGATGGATGTACTCGGACGTTCAACCAATGGGATTCCCTTATTTTACCGATGTTAAAAAATTAACTTTTCACAATTTGTACCATTTTTTGTTCATTTTCCAAATCAACATCTTGAAAAAGGTTATTAAAATAAAGAAAAACCATATGTTGATTTAATTAACTGAATTATAAGTATAATTTCTCTGAGAAATTCAGTTTATATCGAGTAAGGAAATGAAAGTTTGCTGAAATACTTTAACGAACGTTGGCAGGGCAGATATATAGAGTTCAGTTACCCCAAACCTTCAAGCCTTCCATCGTTCGCAGATCAATGCTAAGTTGAACAGCATTTGCCTTCATCTATGATTTCTGTTACGACAATGAAGGCACTACAAAAACCTGCGTGCTAATTAATGTCGTTATTGGCTTCGAAAACCCTGAAAAAGCTTTAATCTGATTTAAAATATAATTGTTGGTGCTTGCTAGGGGTTTGGATATTGGGTTTGAAACTTTTCATACTTATATCCTAAAACGAAAAGCTTCTAATTTACTGTTAACAGTAGGCTGTGAACTTTCTCTTTGTATATACAAGACCCCATTTTGACCATTTGTGTGACGTTAAGACAATTTGGGGGGAGGGGCTATCATGTATCACGATAAGTAATACAAACTCAGTGAGCTTTTCCTTGAGTTTTGCAAAAATTGATTGGAAAAAGAATTATTTGCTGAGGTTTCCTGACAGTGCTTGAAGTGGTATGTTTTAAAATCTTATAACCACTTTGAGTAATCATAATTAACTTTGAGCACTGTGAATTTTACTCTTTGCGCTTTCAGAGGCCTTGCAATCATTTGCATTTCTCCATATGTGAGGCCTTTTGATGGTCAAATCTTTGCCGTGAGTGTGATTTATTAGCCTGGAACCCCGCTGGATATGTTCGTGCGTAAAGTAAGTCTAGGTATTTAAACCGCAGACAAGTTCACAAAACCGCTAGTTTGGTTTATTTTAAGAACTGATATTAACGAAACAAGCAAACTGTTTATAAGGTGGAAGGGGAACTTTTGACTTACCCTAATTTCTGACGGACATGTCATTTTGTTATGCCACCTCATTTGCACAACCCTATATAATAGAACAACAAATAGAAAACATATTAAAAAAGCTCTTTAAATCAAATTATGAAAATAAATTAGCTTTTCATTTTCCATATGTTGAATTAGAAAGGAAACTATGGTAAAATAGTATTAAAAGTAATTGGACAGCTGAATGATCGTCTTCATCACAACTGTGTAGTCTCTCAAAGCTCAAACCGTCTAGAGTAGCACTTTCAACTTTCTTACCCAAATAGATTCAATGTAATGAATTTAAAGGAAGATATTTTAAGACATAATAATCAAAATAGCCCTGGAAATTTGTTTTTATTTGCCTTGTTGTAGAGGGGAATAGGAGATGTCTTTACTTTCCTCTATCTATCCAATCGAGTGGCCCAAAAGTTGCTCCTATGATTTAGCAGCTCTATTCTCCTTCAAGTTCCTCAGCACCCAGATCGAAGGAATGTTTGATAAATTTATAGGAGAATTGTATTTTGTCGGAAAATTTGTTTGTGTTCGCTGTAGTAGCTCGTCTTCATCACGTCATTCTTTGTGCCCAATGGCAGGTCACTGTACCTTCTGCTTACTAGTGATAATTGAAGGCGAGATTTTGTTTAGGTGCATTTGTGGAATCCCATATTGATAAGTATTATGACTGAAAATGAATGTCTATTTACATTTGGGGTGTGCGATAGACTTACCTCCACATGGTGTACCCTGGGCAGCGTATACTCATACAGCAAAGAATTCGATAAACAGGCAGTTGAATTCAAAATACCATGATTCCACTGTATGCCATATTCGACCACTTCCACAGTACTCACCTTACTCTACTCTCTAATTTTGTGTCTGCCTCTTTACATCTGTGAATTACAGTTCTATTCACTTCCCAGTCGACTTTTTTACGACTTTTATGTTCCACCCTTCTGTGAAACCTGAAGTCAGCTAGAGGGCTAATGATAACTATCAAAACGCCTGCAATTTAATATAAATAAATGAATGAATTCATTTGCATTTATATCGAATTGAGCAGAAATTTTACATCTATGATCAGTTTTAGCACTATTGTCATAGTTCAAGATCTGAAATAAGCCCCAATTTATGTCATAAAATTTCTGATTGAAATTTTTAGTTTCAGCCTAGTATCGATGACGTGAAACTATGAACTCACTCTGATTGAGTTGCTCATCAATTCATAGTTAACGGCTTTAAGTAAATTCGAATAGATATGGAATTTATTTATTTAATTATTTCAAATGGCAGGCGTTTTGACAGTTATAATTAACCCTTTAGCTGACTTCGGGCTTCAGAGAGGGGTGGAACATCAGAGTGTGAAAATTCGAGAGGAGGAACGGAAGAGTGACTCACAGATGTAAAAGAGAAAGACAGACACAAAGACATGGAAAAGGTAAGATGAGTACTGTGAAGCGGTCGGATATGGCATACAGTGCGGTTATGGTAGTTTAAAGTCAGATGTCTGTTTATAGATGTTTTTTCCGGCGTTTGATTATACGCTGCCCAGAGTACTCCACGTGGGGGTAAGTCTATCGCACACCCCGATATGGAATTATAAATGTAATAAATTAACATTCCTTTCAAAAGTATTAAATTATAACTGCGTGGGAAGAGGGATCTGTGAGAGTCACTGAAAGGAGCTCATTCAGGTGCATAGTAGGAGTGCCACCTTGGTCGGGTGTTCAACGGCAAGGGCTGCGTTGGGGGGGGGGGGAGGGCAAAGGACCTATCTCCTATTTCCCCCCCCCCTCCCCCACTTCCATATTCATCTCCTTCCCTGTCTCGCCTTTCCGACTTGACATCGCAAGTCCGTTAAGGAGAGACGTTTAAAAGGGTAATTTTTGGTTTAATTCCCTCGTTTGCTCCCCGCCTCGACACGTGTCCTACAAGTTCAGGCGGACCAGTGTCGCTAAGCGAACAATGGGAAATCACCGACGCTTTAATTGAAGGATGTGACGGAAAGCGGTCATTGTCAGATTCAGTGGAAAGATGTGTATACAGAATTAGTAAAATACCGGAGCTTAATTTATCCTTTTATATGCGGGCTTCCTTGAGAATGGGATATTTAAACCACATTAAACCATTCAAGACAATTAGTTAGTGTTACTTTTAAGGTGTTAGACTTAATTAGCGTAGTTACGCTAAAGTAGATACGTAGTGGTGTAAATCCTTAATTGATTTCTCAAATTCATACACAATTCCGCACATTGGCAATGCGAACGCCTGGTTGTAAATGGAATGGAAGTGTCATGACTAATCAAGGTATTTGAACCAGTCCGTCAAGAACTTCTGAATATCGTGATTGAAATTACCACATCCAAAATATGACTACCTTGGTGATTTCAAATTCAGCTGAAGTAAGAACTGCAATGGTCTGACTTTACTGCCTAATTCCTATAGATCCCACTCCTCTTTCATAACATATTTGGCTAATCTGTTTACTCTCCAGACATTATACTGGATATTGAAACTTTAAAAAGTCTTGTGCCGTGCTAAATAGAATAGCAGTTACAATAAATGCGGCTGAAAGGGGCTAAAGATGAAAATGCATGTGCAATGGAGGTAGAATTAAACTATAACTCAAAGTGAACGACAATCAAGTTGAAGAACCCGCATGTTGGGATAATCTAATTAGAATTATCAATACTGCTGATAACCTATGGTGAATTATTTTAAGTAAAAGGCACTTTTATGAGAATAAACAAAAAGCAGACAGTTAATCAATTATTGGTTATGTTTCCATATTGGCAAGCCTCACTTAAAGATGAGCTGTTTGGAGTAAATTCATAATATAAATCATTTGTTATCAGGTTGATAAAAATGACCGAATAATATATGAATGAAGCACGTATGCATGTATAATTGCAAATTCACTTAAAGCTTAAAATAAAGGCCAGGGGTGTACTAATGAGTGGTAATAAAGAGTTGTCGGGTTTATCTTAAGACGTCTATGATTTTGAAGACAAATTTGAGTCGACTCAAGGGCCACACATAGTGTTCTCACGAGCGACAATGGATCTCTACCTATGTGGTCAGGATAATTTGACTCGGGGTTTCTCAAAGGCTCCCCTTTGGCAAAGTCACACCAACGCACTTAATGTGTTCATTTCACACGAATGGGAACTGCAAACTTCACTTACTTTTCTACATTCGGTCAAATTGATAGGCTTAGCAAGTCTTGGAACGAATATGAGGACACTTTTAAAACTCCACGCCATTTGGAAAATTTATTACACACGACGGTCAAATTATATTTAAGTTGCTTAATTCCGAACCAGAGCATTTTAAGTTATGAAATAAAGAGGATCTTGGAAATGGCTAAGTGGTAATTAAGTTGGCATTTTATCAGGACGAGGAAAGTCAGGAGATCCTTGCTTCAAGCACAGAGAAGACGAGGATTTATGATTGAAAAAGAACGTCAAAACAATTATGTCACATTCAAAGGCAACAAATTATAAAAAAAGGAACTCGAGGGTTTTAAGAAGCTAATTTATACTTAAAATTTCGGTTGAAAACATGTTGGGTGTCTTTTTCCAGCCATTGCTATTCCCATTTTCTTGGCCGACTTACCCTATCAAAGGCTGCTTTAAGACATAAGGGGAGATTGGGTGCCCTTGCAATCACTTCAAAGCGTGAAACCCAGAACTTCGCTGCAACGTTGATAAGAGATAATTCGATTTGGCATAAAAGTGAAAGCAAATCTGCATATAACACGACGGTATATTTCAAGGTGCAGACGAAGAAAGGCCATGCTGATGATCACCTTTTCAGACACTGATTGAATTGTTTCTACCGCTCCTTCTATTTAGATGTTCTCCATGACTAAGAATTGAGCATTTTAGATAAAAGTTGTGTTCTAGTCCTCAACGCATTTGTGAAAATCAGTGCTTTATCTAATTTATTAAAAAATAGCTAGTTAATTCTTAATCATTTCGCATTTAAAATTGGTATTCCCCCAGCTAAGTGTTAACAATTAGTGGTAAATACCCTCATTTAGTACTGCACTACTTAATTTGTTAACCCTTACGAATATTAAGCTGAATTTTCATAAATCACTATAGGGCTTGACAGTTTGACCATTTAAGTGGTTTGCAATTAAGGCGCTTTCTTACGATAATAGGTCGGTAGTTGATCAGTGAGGACAGAGGCTCAGGTTTACCTTATTCTTTCTCATTAGATTTATTTGGACGCTTTTGTACACTTCACTGCAAATTTCGGTTCCCGGGTGAAGGGAAGGTGGGGGGGGGGGGGGGGGGGGCAGGTGAAATGGGGAGACAGAGGCGAAAATGCTGGCGGCACGTGCCATCGGCCGGTCGCTAGGGCCAATGAAGGAGTTGAGCGCGTCGAACTAAGTTGAATGGAGAACAGCAGCGTGATGGGAGAGGGGTGGGGAGGGGATTAGTTAAACTGGGGAAAGGGCGAACCCGAAAAGGAACTTGAGATGAGTTGAGTTTAGTGTCTCCCCTTTCCCCCTGATTTTTTGAGTTTGTCTTCCCCAGCCAGCATTAAAATTGATGAGTGAAAGGATTATTAACTGATTAGATATCCTTAACTTGAGAATTCAAATGGCAATTGAATGCACAAAAACTGAAATAAAGTGTTCCGAGAGTCCCAATATTTAGGAGTTCAATAAAGTGAATGACTTATGGATGCATTGTTAGAAACCATGACCCATTTACGTGACATTCCATCCTTTTCTGGACACCATTTTAAAGGTAACTCGAAAGTACTTCAACACAAACCATGCTATAACTTTACCTTTCTCAGCGTATTTATCAATCAGCTAATTACGACTCCAAATGCCCAATAACGTTTGTATTAAATTTTATCCATCTTCATTAATCAATGGTACTCAATTATTATTATTAGCTATATAAAAGTCCTTGAACGTCTCTGAGACTAGAAAATCCAATTTTTGGAATGCGTGGTTTAGCATATTGCATTCATCTATAAAAGTCGAATTTCCTTCCTTTCAACACCTTATATTTTTGCAATTGGATGTGCGATAGACTTACCTCCACGTGGTGCACCCTGGGCAACGTATATTCATACGGCAAAAAAGTCTATTAACTGGCAGTTGACTTCTCATTTCAAACTACTATCACCTCACTCTATGCCATATTTGACTATTTTCACAGTACTCACCTCACCTTTTTGCTACCTTTGTGTCTGTTTCTTTTACATATTTGAAGCACTCTTCTGTTCCCTCCCCCTCTCGACTTTTTTTCCTCTTTGATGTTTCTTCCCCTCTGTGGAACCTGAAGTCCACTAAAGGGCTATTGATAACTATCAAAACGCCTGCCATTTGATTAAAATATATATTTTTGCAATGGGGTGTGCGATAGACTTACCTTCATGTGGTGTATCCTGGGCAATGTATACTCATACGGCAAAAAGTCTATTAGCTGGCAGTTGACTTCTGACTTCAAACTGCCATGGGCCCACTGCTTGTCATATTCGACCACTTCAACAGTACTCATCTTACCTTTTCTCTGCGTTTGTGTCCAACTGTCCCTTTACATTTGTGAATCACTTTTCTGTTTCCTCTCTCAAACTAGCTAAAAGGCTAATGATAACTATCAAAACGCCTGGCACTTGAAATAAATAAATATTTTTATTCAATCGTAGGGCAGTCGTAGAGTTTCAAAAGAATACAGTCCATTTGAAGAAAAACAGTTGAGATAGCTGTCTCAAACAAAAGCATTGTTCACTGCCCGATTGAAACAGACTTTCGGGTTGGCTCCCTTGAATCATTTGAGAAGAGGCAGTAGCTAGCATCTACATTTATCCAGATGTGCTATTACAGCAACTATCAAACATACCGATTTGACGTTTTTTGTTATCACTATTAATCTATCATTAACTTTATCCAATCCAGATGTTTAGATACACTAAATGTAACGTTATGAGCACGAAAGGATTCCCAGATTATGAAAACCGATAACCAAACACTTAATCTCCATAAAGAAACAATTGTAGCACTTATCATCGAATGATTGGAAATCGTCGCATTGAACCCATTTTTAAATCCTTCTTAATTCTCTTAAAATAATAATAATTATACTCCAATGATCTTTCTAAACAATGGGCGAACACTGCTTGTATTCAAATACGATTAGGCCAAAATGCTGCAAAGCCTACAATATTCCACATTTATTGATAGATTTGGATGGTAAAATATGAAGAAAAGTACTTGCCTTTGGGACATGTGAGAAACCTTTTTAGTTGAATAATTTCAAAGACCATTTAGGGACATATGATAGTAGTAAAAATGATGTAATCGAACAAGCAAGTAATACAACGTATTTTAATAAATATGCAATTTCTATACCATATTTGTTCATTTTTACACGGTAGTGGTTAGTTAGAGTTTGTTGTTAAAATTTTGAGGAACGGGATCTATCTTGTTAGTTGAAGAGGAGGAGGTTAACGTTTCGAATTTTCAAGATGATAAAGCTAGTGATAACGTTGCGTCCCTATCCAATACTAAGGAGTGCTCAAGTAGGTATGAGCCGAAATTTGTACCCTCTCTATTAGGCCAAAAGTTTAAAACCCAACAAAGTCCGAGGAAGAATCGCCCCTCAAGGGGAAAAATGAGACCTTCTCGCCCTCAGGAAGTTAATTTTTCTTTGCATTCAAGTAAAATCCTTCAACTCTTTTAAACTCCACTTTATTTTCCCTTTTAAAAGTGACGTAAACTTAGTATAACGCGCACTCTTTACAAATATGACCTCAACAGCCAATTTGGATTGTACTAGAAACTCATGTTGTTGGGTGTTTATAATTGAATTAGTTAGAAACGTACAGTAGTACTTCAAGAAGGATAACTTTTTTTCCCAAAGAAAATGATCTATTTCTTAACAGTCGATTGATAAAGGAATAAAAAAGAATCAAGCTACTAAAAGACAACTTAAAGAATTTAAACAAGGCCTGCAGGAGAGTTAGAGAGAGAGAGAGAGATTCATATACAGAACTCAAAACAAACTGCAATAAATAAGGAGTGATTTCACACAATGACCATAGACCTTGAGTTCAGTGACATTAATGATTTTCCCACTCATAGCACAGAGCAAGTAAATGCACAATGGGTAGAAAGAGGATTTCACAGGTAATCTCAGATGGGTGGGTAATGCGTAGTAGACCTATTTTAAGGATATAAGTTTATGATAACGAATGTACGAGTTAATCAAATCACAGACATTGTATGCAGTTGTTTCAGTAGCCACAAGTTTGATTATAGAATTTGCTCTTCGCATGTGAATGCATATCTTCTGATTTTCTTGCCAGCATTCTGCGATATTTTCAATTTTATGGTACCACTGTTTGGTCTAAAGGGTAGGCGGAGAAATTTGTATTTTAATTTATTCTCTTACTTCGAATCGGATGAAATTCGAAAAACTTACCCCATTCAACTCGTCAACAAGAGCTATGGCATTGGGATCCACGATCAATAGTCTCTTAGAGCTTGTTCCATCAGTCTTAAATGAAGAAAGACACAAGTCAGTGAACCCACTTAACCAAGTGGAAAAAATTATTCAGAATGTTTATCTGTAAGCCTAAAACACTACAATGGACAATTGTTATGACCCTGCTTAAATTGAATAAACACTTTTAAGCACTTAGCATTGAATTAACGCAGTTAAAGAGGGATTAATTTTTGTCCGAAATACAGATTCAATTAGGATATGAAGACGCAAAGCCTTATAGAATGTAATTGTTAAGTAGAGAGGGTGGTAAAATATACGAATTCCATTTTGAAAAGTTGCGATTTGCGCCTCTTTGAATACTTAGGGGGAGCTCATTAACGAAGAATATTACATTTTCAAATCACTAAGAAAACAACTGCACTGATTTCGAGAACGAATTTGTGAACTCTTCTGCGCTTTCTTGGATACATATATCAAAAGTCAGCACTAATTGATTTGGAGTTAGAAGAACGCTAACATCTGAAATTTTGTGAGTTCTAAGAAAAACTTTTCTGCAGAGCCTAAGTTAGAAACATAACCAACTGACCAAATCACTTTAACAATCTGAAAACGACAACCGTCCACTCTTAATACTCACCTTCTCTTGAGCCTCCTTTCTATAGTTAATGCCAACTTGTTTTTTTTCTATTATGCAATGCAATGAAGACTAAAATAAGTGTTAAGAGGGCCCAACAGGAGAAAGACCTACAAACCAGCTAGACTTTAGATTTCTTTGGTACCACACTCTTTTTATGTACACAAAATGGGTAGATCGATTATTAACAGATACCCGACAAATAACATCCAAAACAATTGAAATCATTACATTTGAATGATAGTAAAAAGGCCTGTACTATCTACACAACTTAAATTATTTCAAATGACCTATTATTGACTGCGTCAGGTCATGAGGAGTTAAACTATCACTTTTAAGAAGAATACACCAATTTGAAGGTTAAAAATGAACAAAATACTGATCAAATGCCATCACATATTCCGCTGATTGTGTTAAGTAATGGAATGAGAGAAAGTCCCAAGCTTAACATACCCACTTTAAAACATTAGAGCTGCGCATCCGATCACATGACTGCATAGCAACTTTATCAACCACTGGAAATTTATAAGAGCGAAGATAACTAAACTTACCTCGACGTGGTAAAATGAGGAACCAAGGCTGGTAATTTTGTTAATGGCGTTAAGAAACTTCTTTGGAATATCTTTTCGACTAAGGCGGTGATTTGTGGCGATTACAGAGGTCATTTTCTTAAACAAACGAATTTGATAAAACGTGAGTAAATAGCTAGATTTAAATTTTTATTAAAATCATACCGAAATCCACTGAGCATCTGTTACTCGAGAAAGCATATTCTTTGGAATAATTTGGTCCAATGAAGTTCTGTAAGTCAAAGGGAAGCAACGTGTTAAATGAATTGGCTAATATCTCTCTACTTAATTAAAATTCAGTAAAATGGGTACACACTGCGAACAACGTGTTTCGTCTGTTTGCCAAATAAAAATTAGTGTGCTCAACTCCAAGGCTTGCTCTAGTGAACATTTGTAGTAGCCCTGAAGAAAGTTTTTCATTGTCTAAAATAAAAAAGTATATTACTACTTTAATAAACGTTAGTAGACAACATGCTTTTTTTGCATATATACCTGGGGAAAGTTGAATAAACTGTCTTCAATGAGACACTTTTCGGGAATTACATTCACCCAAAGTTTGCGCAAGAGGTAGAGTGGACTAGGAGGTGGAGCTGTTGGATATTTGACACAGCCATTATTGCTGGCTAAATTTCAGCAGATAAATCTCATTATATGAAACTCTATGATTTGATAAACATAAAAGGCAAAATCTGACTTACACCTGACAGAGCGCTTCTGGCCAACCTGAAACTCAATATCAGGTAAGGTTTGTCGAAGTGCATCGAATATGAACTCTTCTGTTTGAATGCACCGCAATTCGCCATCCACCTCTAGGTAAAGAGCAAACTGCTCCAACGACATAAGGCCTAAGTCGAGAGAAATATCCTTAATAATATCTCCTGCCTTTGTTGTTGACTCCAGAGTTATTTTCTATAATTGAGCAAAACTTTTCATTACCTTTGGGAATAAAGCTTGCTATTTATATTATATCAGTAAGATTTATCTAAAGATAAACGGATGTTTATGGATGAGTACCAAAGTTTCATTATTGGGGAGCAGCACGCTTTGAATTATTTTTTCCTTCCTGCCCTTTATGAGTGAAAGTTCTAGAGCATGAGGAGGCTTTTTTCGTATCCCTCGGCTAAAATGGCAAAAGGTTATTAATATAATGGGGAAAAAGATTTGAGATGGGGGCAAAAGGTTGACGAAACAATACTACCTTATTGTGTGGTGGAGTCGTGTATAGCATGGAATGGCCAGAGGGTGGTTAGACAGATTGAGAAACTTGACCAATTTCTTCTTTGTCTTCTCTGAAGGGATCATTATTCCTGTCGCCAGCCACAACAATTCCATCCCATGGTCAACACTCGATCTAAATAAAATGGGAATCGAATTTCAATCGATGATGTACAAGTCCGAATTTCATTTTCAAACTTTCAAAACGACTTACTCTTTGGGATTATCTGTAAGCTGATTCATAAGCTGAATGAATATCTCATCACGTAGCGGAGGAAAATCTAGAGCCGCTCCAAATAGCAGATCTGTTAGAAACACTGCTGGCATATTCTTTAGCTGCAAAGGAATTTTATCACAGTCTCCCATATAAGTCTGAATGAGACGGAAGGAAAGAAGGGCTGCATCTTTCGCCTTTTGTTCAGAACTCGCTAACTCCTTTAAAAAGGGTTGTCTAATGGGCTGCTTCGTATGCTTCAGAGAGTGCACTGACCTTGGTGATGAGACTCTTAAAGAGACAGATTGAAAATATTAACTATTTCATTGTAAGTAGATATTCTATGAAATGGAAAAGAACTTACGAGGATCGAGTAGGGGAATCAATTCCAGAGTTTCGTGACATAGGTCGTTGATTATATTTCTGCAAGAAATTGTCAATCTTTGTAGAATTGAAGTTATTTGCGGAGATTTTGGACATAGGAATAAAAATTCGCGAGGAATTCACACGCTCTAATTTATTGAACCACTCTTTACTTTCATTCGAGATGATTTGGTGGGCGTAGGCATCAATAAACTCCGGTTTGGGAGGACTAATAGTTGGGAAAATATAGATATCATCCATAACTATTCTGCCCGTCTCACGAGTTCTTTGGTTTTCCCCATAACAGAAATTTGTTAAATCACATTTTGTCAACTTGTTATGGGTTGATTTAGTTGGTTCCGGGTATCCAACCACAAGCTTTTTTGCATCCAACTCCCAACCCATTTGATGCAATTTAATAAAATCACCGGGGTTCACCTGAATTGAAGAGCCACTGTGATCTAAAACTATAGAATAAAATTACAGACAGTGGAATTATGAGAAAGATACCACGAAAATGAATTATACAGTCATTTTTAGAGGACTTTTTCAGTGCAATTGCATAGCGAGAACGCTGGCGCAGACCATTAATCATATAGTTCAGAAGATCTCGCAATTCTTCGGACCGAGAAGAAGTAAATAAAAGTTCTTCCATCCAAACTGTTTTCATTGAGAGTACTTTAACAAGCTTCTCGCTAAAAATATTGACAAAAACACAGCTTTTATTAAATTATCACTCAATAAAGTTCTAGAATAAATGGGGGTTTATGTACGATTTTATTGTGACGGAGTTAATCTCTATGTAGGGAATAGAGCGAATAAGTTTGCGCTTGTCGTCGAATAGTTGGACTCCTTTACAATCCACACATATCTGAATCTTCTGGACAGCAGCTTTTTCCTCTGGCAGAAAACTAGCATTGAATTCTCGAGTGAAGATGCTGTGCCATTGGAGCTTGGCAAAGGTCACTATGTTCTCACATATCGTAGCCGCAGACGCATTGGGAGATTTATCCTCCAGTTCTTCCAATGCCTTTGAAGTAAAATAAGAAGTAACAATGACAAATTCCTAGAACCTGGTCAAACCCAGTGGAAAAAATTGCTCACAGTGCTTGCAGCCTTCTTCCAAAAGGCGATGTCGCCATCTGAGCTGAGTATATCCACTAACCAAGAATTGAGATTACAATCCGTATCCTTAGTATCAATTGATATTAATCGATATATATTTGCCAGTAGATACGCAAGTTCATGCACCTAAAGAATAGCAAAAAATAAGTCATTATTTGTCTAACCAGATTGTATGCATCAAATTCAATCCTTTTAATACCGCAAGAGGTTCATGAGATTCACGGAAGCACTGCTGAATGACCTGATAGCAGATTAGATTTGTAGCTACAGGATCGAAAGCCACATCATGCCACGGTGCAAAGATTGTCTTCTTTATTGATAGAGACCAAGGAAGTTCCGACTCTTTTAGACCTTTGCTTCTCATGACCTCTTCACATTGGGATATCTTGTCAAAAAAGTGTTTCGGATCTGATGATAAAGCCTCAACCTTTAAGAAGAGAAAAGAAGAAGGTGAGATCTGAAGAGGCAAACTGAAAGAAAATGTAAGTCAGTTACTTTGTTGAACATTTTGATAAAAATTTCGAAACCGAAGGTATCCTTTATTGAAGCTGCATTAAATGTCATCTTAGTGAATTCTTTAAAAGTGATAGTGGGATCAACTTTGACTCGTACTCTGGTACCATCGGTACATAGGACATTGACACCAAGGCTTTTTTTCTCCTGCTCAGCTCGAAATTCCATGTAACTTGGAGGCATTGTTCGTGCTCCAGATTGTATAACCCTTTTCAAACGATAAAGGCATGTTTTAGCGTATTCAGATGGATTAGATTTTAGGTAGTTTTTCAGAGCGCCATCAAAAGCAGACGGTGGAAAGCAACTGGCGCAAAGAATGAGTAAAATCCACCCTGTAGAGAAAAAGGAGCAAGATAATATGAGGATTCCGTTTTCCATCTCATCTGAATGACTATTTAATAATACCTCTACTACGACTGAATACATTTGGGTTTTTAGTAAGCTGTTTGAGAATTTGGCAGTAGATCTCATCCCGAAGTTGAGGACTCTCAATTCCCGAACGAATAATGAAGCGAACTCTTTTAAGACCAGAGAGATCGGGTTTACACTCCTGGCAGATGCGCACAGTAGGGGTGTAATTTTGTTTAGAGCAGTGTTCAAAGTCTTCTTCATGATATTGGGAGAGAGGGATATCTTGACCATTCATGCCGAAACCTGGAACAACTACTCGTGGGCATTTTAGCGCACTATCAAAATATGCTGTAGTGTTAGATGATGATAAATCATCTTCCCCATTGATCTGAAGTAAGAGAGAAAATATGTAGCGCTTTAAAGCTATCGAAACTTTCTACAGATAATCATAAAATTTAAATTTGAACCCAGTGATAAAGTTATTTTTTCGTAATAGTTAAAGTCTAAATTCATTTCAACAAGAAAACTATGAAGAGTCTTCTCCGTTTATCAACAAAAGAGTATGGAGTTTTACTAATATAACCATTGCACTCGTGGCTATAACGAGGAAGATGAATTTTGCTATCATTTGGAAGTAATTTTTTGCTGTGAACGATTTCAACGGTCTTTGTCTTTATTTAAGACTTAGACCAACCGAGACTTGAATCCTGCAAGTTTTGTTAGTCATTATGCCTATGGAACAGGAGTCATGAAAATCATTGCATACACGTTCATATACAAATGACAGGTAATCACTCCCTAGTTTCTTTCTTGAAACCATTAAAATGGGCATTTAAGCTATTAGAGCCAGGAATTGGTTTTGTTGGTTGTTGCAACCACGCAATCCAGCCAAGCTAAAGATACTTTGAGGGTCCTAATTGAGTTGCCTTAGTTGTGGCTTTGTTTTAGCTTTCTTTTTAGTTAGTCTCGAAGTCTACTGATTCAGCAGAGGCTTAAAGGAAGGTAAACGGGAAGACTGTCATGGAAATCCAAAGAGAAAGCGTTATGTGCACCGTGTCGGTAAACTAATTCAAAGATCTATAACTCGTATGAGGAAAATCGATAGGTAATTAACAATTACGAAAGGCTTTTCTACACTTAAGAAGGCAGCATTTTCAGGTTTGCTATAAAAAGTCAGACAATTATGCATGAAGCAAGGTGCTTTCTTTTGAGAAGACTTTGGTTACCACATTTGCCATTGAGATAAAACGTAGTACTGATAAAATAGATAATGAGGTATTATTAATTATAACTAAAAAATAGATAAGACGCTGTCTACACACTATCAAATAGAAATTGTAAATTTTTTAGACAATTATTGGTCACATTTTTATAAGAGCGGTAGCGAAATGTGATAAAGACATACTACCGAGTTAGAATCGTCCGTCTTGGCGCAATGAACAACGCTCTTCGGTTCCATGAAGGATAAAATGCGACCAAAGATCTTCAGAGCAAGCTATATGTAGTGAAAGCATAAAAAAGCAGTGATTTTGTGCTATTGACTGGGGAAAAACAGAGGATAAAAGGAAGTCTTACATCAATATCCTCTTGGTTTTTGTGCTTAAGGAGAGGACGACCAATCAGTGACGGTGAGTAAATGGGCGTGGCTCCAGCTTCAAAATAGGCAGCAGCAAATTTGCTGAAACTATACTCACCCCAGCCAACACGATCATCATCAAGAACCTCCATCTCTGAGAAGGTAGCTTCAGTTGAAGGTGACCTAGATGTGCTGGTAGGTGTCTGAGATGCAGTACTCAATGGGATTTTTAAGAAAGAGGAAGAGGTTTTGAAACCATTTCCACATTTATTTGCACCATATTCGAAGATCGGTTTACTCAAAGGATTGCTCGCCTTCACTACTTCAGGTTCTTTGACAGCAGATTGGCTGGGATTTATAAGTGAAGCGTAGCATCCGTTCTCCAACGTCACTTTACCAGCATCATCTTTGATATTATTTACTCCTACAGAACTGAACACGTCCTGGAACAGGTCATCAACCTAGAATAAAAGACAAAATTCTCGGACAGAGTGGAAGTACACTTCGCGAACAATTTGTGTCTAGGTAATAAGGTAGGAAATAACCTTGATATAAATTTCATATATTTTCTGTACTTACTCGATAGCACACAATAATTTTAAAAACCTAAGTCGATTTAATTTTGTACCAATTGTTTCTGGGCTTAAAAACTAGCAATCAAGTTAAAAATGCCTTCTTCAATTTAATTGTTTTAAATAAGGTAATAAACACGGCGTTAAACTTGCTTCATAAACGTTTATATCAATCAAGTTAATTTCATTTGCAAACTTACAAAATTGAACATATCCGCATAGCTGTCAGATATGGGCAACCTTACGTTCGCATTTGCCACAATCGGGGTAGCTTCACAGGATTGACTATTTGTGTAGATCTCGGGGGCTGTAGAAGCCATCACTACCTCCTTAATTTCATTTATTGCTTCTGAAGAACGTTGCGAATTCGCTAGACAAGAGTTCCTCAATAAGGGATCTTCGGAAATGTCTGTTTTACAGAAGAAAAGTTGGGTATTCATGTCCTATAAAGTTAAAGAAAAGGAAAAGCATAACAAATGTACATAAGTCATAAAAATAATTCAATTGTTTGGATTCTACTGCTTAATTAAAAATAAAATGAAGAACTACTTCCATTTGCACTGCAGTGTATAATCTCATTTGCTACTGTCAAATAACAGTAAGTTAGCTTTTAGAAGGGAAAGATGTATCATGTTGGTGTATCCGACCCCTCAATTCAAACGACTAGTCAAAAAGCTCTGAAAACAGCAAAGTTGAATCTTTTTAAATATTGGAACATAATGCAACAAATTATTCCTATTGGGTAATGAACGAGTAGACAGTAGACTTCCGAAGACGTTGTCATGGCTGAACAAAGAAATCTCATGCGCACCAAGGCAGACTCGAAAGTGAGACCATGCTACTTGCCACGTAGGGGAGCAAATGCGATCGTGAGCGCAGTGACTTCTCAGCCAGTCACCAATCAATAGTCTCTGAATTGGTTGACAAACCCTTCATTGAATTTTAATAACTAAGCTATGGGGCTGACAAGCACCTCAAATAAACGCGTTCCACACCATATGTACGTTTCCTCTGCATTGTTGAGAGGATCTTGCCAAAGAGACTACTTGTGAAGCAAATATTTGACATTCGTTATCAGCTTCTTCTGTGACTTCCACGTAAATGCATTTTAACTTTGACAGGCAATAATTTGTAAATATTAAAATCTACTTGGAAGATAGGTCGAGTATCAACTGCAAATTGATTGCAAGCTGCGAGTATAGAGCAAAAAGAAATGTTCAAATTAGTGAATTGCGTTATAAGTGTCATTGAAAAAGGAAAATTATGTCTTCCATCTACGTGGTTATAAAATACTAATAATTGGAGATGGCACAACCAACTACGGATTTAACTTTACTGGTCGTCAAGCCCTGAATGGTGTGAAGACTGTCCCATCTATGGACATGGAAATCAATTCATGAACTTTAGAACATTGTAAGGTAAGTTATGTACCAATGAGAACAAGCACAACGTATTTCTCCCAGCATTCAAATAAAGTAAGACTTCTTCTACACCCACTCTCCATTTCATATCCTATAGCACTGACATACTGTTTCCTTTATTTAATGCACACTAGTAAAGCTGATTGTTCTGTTCCGGGGGCAATGATAGAAGTGACCTACATTTTCAACGGCCATATCAGCATCACAAATGCCTCGTCTTCTCAACATCATGCGAAAGGTTTTTTTAGCGAGGTAGAATCGAGCCAGAGCTTGGAGTTTTATGATGAAATTTACTTGAATAAGATACCACTTGCGAGTTTGCTTGGCTCGTACATTTGCTTGCATACGAATAATGATGTGTCGTACCTAAAATATAGCATTAGCAGCATTACTTTACCCGGACATCAGTTTCTTTTAACTTGACAGGCAGAATGAATGGTGCGTATTAAAAATAGCGATGCCAGTTTAATAACATGCAGATGACAAATTACTCCACTATAAAAACTTACTGGATAATACTGCAAATGAAAAAATTTAAGAAGTTAAATTTCAATAAAAAAATGCAATAGTTGCTAAAATGATTGTCAGGTGCAAACCCTTTAACAAAAGACTATAGGGTTCTAGCTCCGGTAGAAAAAATAATTCTAACTTCGAAATTTACATTAAAAAGTATCAATAAGTTAACGAAAAAATGAGCTTGAGTCCAATATATACAATGGCTTGTATGACATTAGAAAATTCTAGTACTGGAGATCATCTAATGAAGAAAATAATTCTGAGATTCAACTTTAATATTGGATTTTGTCAATTTAACAGCTGTACAAAGTCTTTTTGACCCATTATCATTTGGTAAAGCAAAAGGACAATAGGCTTGATCAATCCCATGTTTATTTGATATTTTATTTCATTGTCCAATGTTTACATTTAAACAGGATTACTTTAACGATCATTGACACCTCATTCATATACCTGCTGTATTCTATTAGAACCCGGCAATTAATAGATAGACGGTCTAGCAATTAGTTAATGGCTAGAGTTCACTTATAATTCAGTTACTATCTCAATCCGGTTTATTTAATTTATAGGCAGATTGATATAGTTACTTCAATGGAGTTTCTGATTTGACATTATAAAACTCAATGAATGAAAGACCGAGTAGGATAAAATTGACATAGGCGGCAAATACCCGCAAAAATTGTCTTCTGGAAGCAAGCTGACGGAACCGTCTTTGACAAATAATGACATAACGTCGAAGATCTTGATATTTTCTTCGAGCCAAGTAACCCTTCCATCTGACTTGGATAACGATCGCACTGGATTGAATAATGCTTTCACGCAGTTGCTCCAGCTTAGAATCATGCTGGGTCTAAAACATAAAATCATGACTTTCTATAGTGGAATTTTTAAAAATTGAAAGATATATCAGTTCATTTTGTACCTAATACTGATTCCCATCAAATTGTACATTAAGACTGAGTTGATATTATGACAGAAGTATTAAAAGATGCAAGCCACAATGAATTATTTTGGAGTAATAATCTTTACAAAGTGGAAGGCAGGATAGTACCACTGGAAAACCATGCGAATATTTTAAGCAATTTAATAATTAGCATGAAAGGCCGTGTAACAAAGAAGCACATCCGAGTTTGAGGTGTAACAACACTTTTGTCAATTTTTTTCTGAGATTAATTGAATAATAAGGGTAAAAATTGCAAACATGATAGCATGAGAAATTTGAATTTCCATTCTCAGTGAAAGTAAGCACATTTGCATAATTTAATCTGTAACACATTCACATGTGAGGATAAAGCTAGTGGCAAAAAATATTGCTAAACGTGAGCCATGTAAATGATAACAGTACGAAAATTAGACATAACTTAGGAGGTTAATGGAACAAATGGAATTATGGAACACTAGATGGATCGTAAACTTTTCTCTCTCTCTCTCTCTCTCTCGTCTCTTTCTTCCTTCTGTCCCTATATGCCTCAGTTCTCTCCTACTTTCTTGCAATTTAACCATTTTTAACCGATTAGATTTCGGTCGACACTCAAATCTCTTAGCGTTCTGATTGATTGAGGCCGTGATTGTGTACTGCCTGTTGTCAGCTTTTGGTCTTTGCTCATAAATTGGAGACCTCGTTCCTTATTACTCAGACTAGTTAACAATTATTAATACCAAGGTCATTAAGGACATTTTGACCATCCTTTCTTTATTAATAATTCGTCCATTTCGCAAGAGAGCATTTTCAATCTTAAAAGGGGAAGACTGAAAAGTAAATGTCAGAACAAGTAATTGTTTAGCTATGTGTCTTATAGACTCCCAAGATAGTTTTTGAGTAAAGTCAAATTCTAAAATATCTACTCTAGGTAGCGTAGTTAAATTTTTATTCAAATAACTTTCCTCTAAAAGTCGCTTTTAGGAAATCTTCTATCCGTTTCACTAACCTCTTAGGTTATATCAGGCTTTTATACCAGTACCATTCTCTTCTCAAATGCAATAGCTGCTGTAAACCGACAGCAAATGACCGATCAGATGACAGGCTTCCATATATTGACTAATAGCTTTATTCTAAAAGTATACTTTGATAAACAGAAAGCATCTGAAGGTAAAACATTATGAAATTAACCAAACGCTAATGGCATCTAAGCTTTTTTGCTATTTACACTGACATTGATAATCCATCTGAAAAAATAAAAAATGAGAAAATCTTAAGAAATTGCTTACAAAAGATCTATTTTTAATCGAAAATGTTTAAGAGTTTTATAACTGCGTTTTCAAGGTAATAATAATAAAAATTGGTGAAAATTAGCATTATTTTTCCCATTGCCCATGGTCAACTTTTAATATATAATCCAATTAACTAAACACAAATACGGAGAAAAAAGATTTTGCCAGTGACAAAACCCTTGCCGATCATAGGATGATCCAAATACAAACCCATTAATCAAAGGGAACTAATTGTAAATAACTAGCTTCGATGCTTGCATTATTTAATTTGGATAATTTTAGCATAATCATCGTATGGCCAATATCCATAAAGTAATATTCACCGAAGGGGTGTGCGATAGACTTACCTCCACGTGGTGCACCCTGGGCAACGTTTACTCATACGGCAAAAAAGTCTATTAACCGGCATTTGACTTCTGACTTCAAAATACCATGGCCCAACTGCTTGTCATATTCGACCCCTTCACAGTGCTCATCTTACCTTTTTCCCTACATTTGTGTCTGTCTGCCTCTTTTACAACTGTGAATCGCTCTTCTGTTCCCCGCCCCTCGACTTTCTGCTACTTTGATGAACCTTCCCTCTGTGAAGCCCGAAGTCAGCTAAATGGCTAATGATAGCTATCAAAACGCCTGCCAT